CTCCGTGTAACACCTGAAATACATGATGTCACAGGAGCTACCCTAGTCAATTAAGATGCGCTTCACTTGACACTCCCCAATCTGAAGGGATACTACCAAGGCGTCGTTGTGTGGATGCTGCAACATCTCAAGGTTGGCTTCAATAAAGGACACTACTGGTCCCTGGCACTCTTCGGCCCGAGGTCTTTTCTGCCAGACCTGGTACACATGCTGCAAGTGCTTTACCTTCTAGGTCTCCCCCCGTACTTCATTTCCGTTGACCTTCGAGTGAATTACATTAATTACCGGAGGTCCGCCTACCTGCGGTTGCTGTGCTGGGGGAAGTGGAGCTGCTGGTGCCTGAGGCAGTCTTGCCTTCTCTTCCCTTGTCCTGGCCTCATCTACAAGGTCCGTTAAATGGCCTTGCCTTACCAGGTCTTCTAGGTGTGCCTTTAGGGCTCTGTAACCCTGAGTCAGATGCCCATCTTCATTGTGGTAAGCACAATGCTTGCCAAGGTTTCTTCCCATAAACTCTCTCGGAACCCTTGTTGGTGCTCTGAAATATGGCTGATTTCGGATTTTATCCAAGACTTTGTGAACTGGGATTCGGAATACAGTTGTGACTGCATGTGCAGCCCTCAGTCCTATCTCTTGCTTGTTGGATTCGTTGTTACCTCGGCCTCGCTTCAACGAGCCTTTTCTTTTCTCTTGCTTTGTCGCTTTTGTCCCTGGCATGTCTTCCTCAGCTCTGGCATATTTCTCAATTCTGGCCATGAGCTCCCCCATACTTTTTGGCAATGTCTTTGCCAATGACTTTCGCAGTGGACAATCATCTTTTAGGTCGTTCTTGAAAGATACGACTGCCACCTCTTGGTTGCACTCGGGTATTCGGTTGAACACCTCATAATACCTTTTAGCGTAGGCTCTAAGGCCTTCATCCTCACTGATTCTCAGAGCCATCAGGGAGTCTACCCTTAACGGCTATAATTTGTTCGTTACAAATCTAGCCACGAACATCTCGGCCAGGTCCTCCCAGGTCTTCACGATTTCTTTTGGCAATTTGTGAAACCAATCTGATGCAATCTCCCCAAAGGATGAGGGGAACACCTTGCAGAGCAACGGCTCATTCCCGATGTACAATGCTATCGAGTTCAAGTACAAGCTGACATGAAAGTTAGGGTCCAACTTACCGTCGTATATCTGGAATCTCGGCATGCTGAACCTCTTCGGTGCCTCGAACTTGTCCAAATCGACCGAAGACGGTGTTCTTGGCTTAACTGGAGAATTAACCTTGACATCTTTCTGCTTCCTTTGGAGGTAATCCCTCAGATCTTCCTTTGTCCGTCCAAGAGCTCGGCTATCTCCAAATTTCAGCCTTTTTTGAGCACTACTTCTAGTGTTATTGTAAGTCCTTTTGGGCATCCCCCCATTGGTCGTGTCGAAGCAGAGTTCTTTCCCTTGAACATCCCGATGTTCTTTGGTACTGGCTTCTCTGGTTCGACCCGTCTTCTGGGATTCTCTTCTCGTTGATTCTCCATGCCCGACCTCCCGTGAAGGCCGATGAGAATGTCCCTTAGCCTCATCATGCTGGGGGACTACAGGAATCATTTTTTTCCCCTCTTTTTGGGTGTCTTGTTTGGCCGTTGGATTCGGTGTGTCTTGTAGGGGGAACGGTGGCTGCATGACGTTGCTCTGCATCATGAAATCGACGACCGTTTGTAGGTCCGCCAATTTGTTTGCCATTCATTTTACTTCGTCGTCCCTCCACAGGCATCTATCCTTCCACACCTAGAGGTCATCCTCGTTGTAATACCCACTCCGATCAAATTTCTTTGACGTGTCGCCCTCTTGGCCATCATTCTTTTCTCCGTGATTCTTATCACGAGTTTTTTTATTGTAGTTGTCTCCTTCGATATCAAGGTCAATGTGTTTCTTACTCCCCGTAGGGATATCGTCCCCAACCTTCTCCTTCTGTCCGTTATTGGCCATCTATTCTTCTTTCTTTCCCACAGACGGCGCCAAATTGTGTGTGTTGATTTCCGACTACACTACCAACTAAGTACTCAACTGGAGAACACCGGCAGAATAGATTAAACTCGAACGACCTGCAACAGAAAGAAGGGATTTCGGTGGTTGTTCGTCCATCCGGGGGTACTCCGACGATCAAGTCAGTTATCTATCAAAGATAGTAAAAGTGCTTAACTCACTATTCAGAATATAAAAAACGTACCCTAGACCCATGGGGGTGCCTCTCTTTTATAGCCAACACAAACCTAGTCCCAATAGAAGCCTAACTTCTATGGACTTAGGATTACTGCTAATCTTGGACTCCCAGTAGGATTGGGATAAACTCTCTAAGAGTCTTATCTTTATCCAAACTGAAGTCTTCTCTCATTCTAGGACTCTTGTCCCTTATCCGCTTAACTCGGATTCCGGTGTTCTCACAGATAACCTCAGCCTATCCGAGATCATCTCGGCATTATGACCAGGACACGTGGCACCCCGGCTAGCACTCCGGTGACACCTCGGCCATGTGCTATCATCCAATAATTACGCCCCCACATTATTCATAAAAATATCAAGTGTACGAATATCCATAAAGTATCCATAAAATCTATCATTGTTTGCATCCATCAATCAAATATGTTATCACAATTCGTCTTGGTAATTTGTAAGTAATTTTTTTCTCCTTAATAGAAATAAACATCCACACTTTTTAGAACCTGTCAACCTTAATCATCCCCCCTTGATCTTCCTCTTGTCTCTATAGTAACCATTTTTTTTCCAAACAAGTGTAAGTTTTGATTTTCTGCTATTGTCTCTCGTATCTGATGTCTTTATAACAATGACAAATCAAGTTTTCTTCCCAATGTCAGAAGCCTATTTAATTAATGCTTCACGACTATGAAAAATCTGAAGATAATAAATACATTTATACGTCAAATTATTAATAAAACTCAATACAAATTTAAAATATGAAAAAATCGTATTCATAAAAAAAACTTAACAACCCTCGTCTGTAATGAATTCATAACTAGAGTCCACTAATATTGCAGTACTTGCGTTGTTGCAATGAGTATAAGTATAAGTATAATCCTTCCAGGGAAAAAAATAAAAAATATAAAAAAATGAAACTGAAAATACATAGTAAAGAGAAGCCGAACAAATTTAAAAAATTCGGTTTGGAGTTACTGGAAATGTATCTTTTATTCGATAGTTGGTTACCAGACTTATATTTTTTGTTCGGCAATGTGATACCGGACTATTTTATTTTGTTCGATTTCGAACCACCGAATGAAAGTCGAACACCAGTCTAGAGGAACAAAACAAAAACCTACCAAATAAATAAATAAAAAAACTCACCTTTTCTTATGGTTCTTCACCACCGTTTCTTCATCCATTACTTTATTTAATGATTAAAATATTATGATTCTCTCTTTTTGAAAAGAGATGTGTAAGAGAAAAGAAAATTTAAGAAAGGAAAAAAAAAGTAGGAATTGAAGATCAAGGGGTGTAAGGAGATAACAAAATATATTTAATTTTAGTGTTTTGTCCTTAAAGGTAATTTCACCCATGAATAAAATTGGGGGGGGGGATAGGAAACTCATATGGAGGGTGTAAAGAGGTAAAGTAGTGGTGTAAGTTGAATCACCCAAATTGTTTGGATAAATTACGCTTTGATCCCAAAAATATGAGTCATTTCCCATTTTGGTTTTTAAAAGAAAATATTCTTCCACTTTGATTTCTGAATTATTTGTTATTTTTCACTTTGGCCCAATTATCAACTCCTCTCAATTTAGAAATTTTAAAACAAAGAAAAATTCAAAGTAAAAACTTTGAAAGCAGCTAAGACCCCCCCCCCTTTTTTTTAGATAACTTAATATCAAACCCAATAGATTGACTAATCCAAGGGAGTAATCCCACCGTTCACTAACGGGTGCCCAATTAAAGGCCCTAGTGGCAAAGTCCTGTATGAATTAGTTTCAAAAAAATTATTTGCAGCTAAGACCCTTCTATTCTTTACCATCCATTGGATCCCAAGGTTCTATCCCTCAATCATCAAAAAGAACTACTAGAAAAGGTTGCATCTCATGAAATGAATTTTTTTTTTTATTTATAAAATGGATATGCAAATAGGCTATTCTACATACTCGCCAGGGAGTATTGTCCCTTAACACTTACAGTATATCTGTAGAGAACCTCACCACACTTATGTCGGGGCCTAAACTTAGACTCCCTTGTATTTCAAGTACTAAAAAATATGTTTAATCCTAACAATAGGCTATCTTTAACCCCCAATCCCTGTTGGTGTCTCATGAAATGACTGTGACCCACATGTAAGTCACCGCTTTTTTTGCCTTAGTTTTTGCACTTCACATTGACTACATTGGATTTGCAATTAGCAGTTCTTAAATGATTTTCAAGGTTTTAGCACATGACTATATTCGATTTCACATATAAGATCTGAGCCACTTGAATATATTCACATTGACTACATTGGATTTCATATTAAAAAAAAAAAAAAAAAGTTGGGAAATTTTAATATACACCCCTTTAAAAATAATGTATCATATATATTTTTAATTATGATCAATTTTATTCTTTAATTATGACATTATTTTAATTATGACTTATGAGTTTTTTTATTATGTCTCATGTTGAGTTTGATTATAATTTTTTTTTAGTTATAACTTAAAAAATTAAATTATATCATTTTTCTTTTAAATTATAAGATATATACGTATACACCATAGTGTTTCCCAATTAGATGATAATTGATTTTAAGATATAGCAATCGTCTTGTTCAGACCACATCACAACTTGGCTGATATTTAAAGTTTACCTTCCTCAATTATTGTTTCCTGCCTCCCTTATACTTCACCTTTTTTATATAGTGAAAGGGCAGCGTGCAAGGCACTTTAACTAATGACCAATTAGTGCCCACTACATTTGTGTATTTAAATGAGTTTTGAGCTATTGTATAAACACACAAAATTAGCAATTTGATCATGAATACAAGATTGACTCAACAATACAAAGTTTTTAACAAATACTATTACTTATACAAAAATAAAAAATAAAAAAACCTATTACAAGATCTATTTTCCTAACAAAATTGTCATTCCTAAAAATATGATGTAATAAAAATAAAGCAATTGTTTTCTCTATTTGACAAATGAACAAGTACTCAATCATCCTTAATGGCAGGACTTGAAATCCCTCATCAATTGTAAACCCACTTTTACTTGGTATATTATGAGTAAGATGAGCCAAACCATGCTTGTATGTAATGCTGTGAGACCTACCATATCATCTCCTCCATGAGCTGAATTTTCTATTAAATTCTCAGCCAAAGTTGCTCTGCATTATATTTGTTAGAAAGAAATATCTAGTTTTCATAATTTAGCATTTCAAATCAAATACTACCTTTTAGATCCCATCAACTCCTTCAATCTAAATGTATACCAAATAGATCAGGATCATGTGAATGATCAAACATGATTTGTTTGCAAAACTTTTATTCTACTTGCTTAAAGCATAAAAAAAAAATTAAAAACAATAATAGAAAGGTTATCAGCCCTTCTTATTTAATAGTTTAATGGGGAAAAACTAAAATAAAAAAGCAATACAACGGTAGACCATAATAACTATTATCAAACATCCTTATTTGCATGGATTGGAGATAAGATAAGTAGCTAATCATCTACTTGAAAAGAAGGAAATAGAGAACATACCTACAAGCAAATTCTTACGAGGGTTAGATTCAAATCATTGTGTTTTATGAAGCTCAAACATAGCGCATGCATGCAAATTAAATCATTCAAAATTCAAAGAGAAAATTAATCAGCAAGATGGTGCAAATTACATAGCGAGGGAATTTCACACCTAAAAGCTAGACCAAACCCACAAGCTTAGTTTTTTAAGCCTTTCATATTTGATAATTAGCTTTTGGTAATAAGGTCTAGTTTGCTATTAGATGTTTTTAGCAACTTGCATTCACTAAATTGGATCACAGATGGTCATTCCACGACATCAGTTCTAGATTAACAAGAAGCAGAAGCAATGTTGGATTCTATCATAGTAGTGTTTTCTTTAATATTTGAAATAGATTTTGAGTGCATGAATGCAAGTGATGTTTTAGGTTAGGTTTAATGATCACACCGGACTACAAAGTACAGGTACAATAATTCCAATGATCTAATTAATCAGTTAGAACCTTCGTCTAAAAATAGATCTTTTACAATGTATGAAAGGAGTGTTTTCTATCCAATCGAAATTTTTTGACAAGTTCCAACTCTTCAGGGAAAATTTGAGTCTAAAGTTGGGGGATGGCAAGAATATTAATTTCTGGATGGACAAATGGCTTGATGAGAGACCCTAGTTGCATAAACTTTCAGATAATAAGAATGGAAATGTGGCTAATCTTCTCCACCCAGGTGATCATAATGGTTCTTTGCAACTTAATTTTAGAAGAGCTTTTTTTGTATAGGAAGAAGACGGCTTTTCAAACCTGATACCTTAATGTTGTGTTTGGAGCATGGATTTGGATAAGGATTTGAAAAGGAAAGGGGAAAGGGAAAACGAAAAGAGAAAGGTGGGTGAAATGTAACTATATTTCATTCACATTTTACCTACATTTTCGTTTTCCTTTCCAAATCTCTACCTAAATTCATGATCAACACAACCTAAGTGATAGGTGTTCGGTCTTGAAACAAGATTATGGGTGTTCTCTGTTATGCTATGGGAAGCATTGTAGGAATCTTTTAAACATTGGAGTTTTTTTGGTTGAGTGCAGCAAGGAGTTGGGAATTTTTTCAACATCAATTGCTGCTGGTGTTTTATTTGCAATATTTGCTACTTGCGTTATTTGGCTTTGTTTTGATTCTTCTTCGTTGTTGCTCCCAATTTTGATTGGGATTTGTTCCCTTTTTTGTTGCTTTAGCCTTGGCCTTTTGTATCCACTGACGTATTCATTTGTACACCTTGTACCTTTGTTTGACATCAATATATTTTATTTTTGCCAATTAAAAAAAAAAATCTAGAAACTGCATAAGCTTCTTTTGCACTTCTAGTATCAGGAGAAAGGACAAGAAATAAATCTCACATTACTAATTTACTTTTATTAAAAATAAAGAAAAATAATTATGAAATAAAAATGATATGAAACAATAAAAGTGAAAATGGTTGTTAGCAACAACACTCCCATTCAAACTGACAAAAGCAACAAAAGCCACCATATAATGCAAAGAATGTACATTTCAATAAGAGGTCTTCAATCTCATTAAATAAACAACCATGCAAAGTATGCAATGTCAAATGAATTGAGTATCAAATGTTGAATCATTTATCACAGAGAAGGTTCCTGCCCATTTTTGGCTCTTGTACATGAGAATAAATTTGCAAAAGAATGAGATTAATATTGGATTTTAAAGATGATAATTTGAAGAATTCTTTTCAAAATGAATTTTTTTAATGTACTGGAAAAAACAATCTCAGACTTGTTCATAACAATAATTATGAATGAAGAATAGTGTATTCCTCTGTTATATGAACACCTAACATGCAAAAGATAGTAATATTAAGCCTCAAGTTCAACTAAACAAACAACAAGGGAAATTGAAGGACTGTATTATATATACTGTTAGGAGACTTCACAATTGTTAACAAAAAATACACATTATCTACATACACAAATGAAAAAAATATATATATGAAGCAAGTAACAAAATCTTCTAAAGGTAATAGAGGAAATTATAAAACTTATTGCAAACTCACATCACAAAGAATTATGAAACCACTAAATATAAAGCAAACCATTGGCCAAGACTCCAACGGCTATGTCTAGTTTTCCTCACATTTCTATTTAACCCTCCATAGTGGCCCAAGGCACTGAGCCCCAATCAAATTAAAACATGATTCATACTAATGTGTTATAATTCTCTTTTATGAATGAAACTCAAACAAAAGTCATTTCCAAACCTAGGGGAAAAAAAGAAAAAAAAAAGCAATGAAAAGAAAAGATTGGACCTTTAACCATTCAAATCGACGTTTAAAAGTGATCTTAAGAAATTGTTGAGGTTTATTGAACTTTTCACACAGATGATATATTTTTCAATTTAATCAAAGGAATAAAATTAGTAATAAATTTTAAAAAAAAAGTATGGCAACTTTTTGCAAACCCATTTCACAAAAGGAACCTAATGAGGCAAAGAAAACCACTGGCCAAAAAATCTTCTCTACTTTCACTGGTATTCATTTCACCCATCAATTGATCACTATGATCCACAGTCTCTATTTTACATTCTGATCTTTCTCTACAGACCATCACATACGTATATATTTTTCTTCTTTCTCTACTCTTTTTTCTTTCCGCACTCTTTATTGGCCATCACTCACCTCTCTATTTTTCTTCTTCTCTTTTCTCTTCCACATCTCTTGAAGAACCTATTACTCACCATGAGGGATCTTCACATCATCAAAAGTCATAACATAATCGCAGAATTTCCTCAATCAGCCAATTCAATTTTCCATGTAAAGCCTTGCAATGGACACACTACCAAGCAATAGTCACAAAACTTCGACACACTATGTTCTATAAAACAAATTGCAAAAGCTAAGCACTTCCACACATCACTGGAACAACTACACATCAATGGAACTACTGTAGCTAGTTCTAATGATATTCAACAAAATACACACAAAACCAAAAAGAAGTAAAACGATAATGATGATATGAGAAAGGAAGAGACACATATGACAGAGGAGAGAGAAAATCTATGAGAAAATTAGGAACAAATGAAGAGTTGTGCCAGTTGGGTTACCGAAAGTGTATTTTTGTGCATTGAGATTGTAGTTATATACATGCATTTCGAAAAATCCGAATTGCATTTGGAGCGATTCATTTGAAATCAAGAAAAATTCAAACCCCATTTGAAATCAAGAACATTAAGCCCTCTATTTGAGGGTTTTTAAAGGTTAAAAAGTTTGACCCAATTGAATTTTGCAATCTTTTCACAGCAAAATAGATAAATCAATAGAAAAGCTTGCTGGTATGTATGTGCATAGAAAATACTAAAAAGAGAAAACCGCATAAACAACAACTCAGGGAAAATTTATATGATGGTCTCCAAAATCACAATTTCGTACTAATAAAAATCAGGGTTTTAGGGATTTCAAGCCATACCTCTTCAATGAGAACTCTTTCAAACCAATAAGCTACTACAGAAGATAGAGCTCTCAAAGAACCCTTCAAAATAAAGAGACGAAAGTGAGAGATGATAAAGAGCAAAAGAACGGACAGAGAAATCAGAGAGAGAGAAACCATAGATTCGGAGCAAATAGGAGAAAATTTTAGGTTTTAAGAGCCATACCTGGTCTCTTCAATCCTTGCGACTTCGATCTCCACGAATGGAAACAGGGAAGAGACGACCCAAGAAGAGAGAGGGCTTTTTCGTGAGGGAGTGAAGCAAACAAACGAGGGAGAGAGACGGCGGGGCGGCGGGGTATACATGTACTATGGATCCTTGATAAACAGCTGTAAGGAATTTGAAGTTAGTTTTCCATGAATAGCCTTGCATCCAAAGAAGAAAAGCTATAAAGCATAAGGCCAAAATCGACTTTTCAACTATTCAAAAAATATTGTTCATATTTGGCTGAAATTACTGTCCACTTTGCATCCGTGCTTTATACAATATACTTTATATATATTGTATAGATTTTTTTTTTTCTTGACCAAACTTCTGATTCGATTTTCATTGAAGTCGTCGAGTGAGGCTAATTTTTCAGAAATTTCGTCCTAAAAAAAATAAATATCTTATCTTCATCATCTTTATTCAAAGGAAGAACATACGTAAGAGTCTCTTATATTGTGTAGTAGTTTCTTATTCTCAAGTTTTGCTCTGAGATCTCCCTATTCAATATAGTGCAATCCATTGTCGATCTTTTCGGCAAATTGGTTTCAAAGATGGAAAATAAGCCTGTGAAGGTTACTGCTGAAATAAGTGAGAATGTTCTTCAAAGGTTTTTAGATGGTCACAGTTTCTCTCCTGTCCTTAATTTGATTAGATGGTACTGTTGGATTGTGGTGGGCCCGATTTCATATACATATCGATAATTTAAATCGTTCATTATATAGAACTCATTGAGTATATTATCTTTGCAAAAATTCAAATTAATCAGATATCTATAGTGATTTGATCAGATTGAATTTGTTTCAACGGCAATTATGGTTTTGACAATAAATCGTAGACACAAATATTTGCTAATCAAGTGGCTATCATCAACATCAGATTAACGTGATTTTTACATATATTATATACTTAACAAGCTTTACACATCAACAGTTTAGATAATCAAGATAGGTCCGGAATCGGGCCCACCGTGATTAAACAGCACCGTTCAGTCCGTTAGCTGAACCCTTTTTGAATTTCTTTTTTTTAAAACTATCATGATAGAAAAGTTTTGTACTCTTTTTTTTTGGGGGGGGGGGGAGGGGTGTTTCACCATAATAACGTATCCTGATCTTAATTTGACTTATGTAATTTTCTTAATTTGATTTATGTAATTTTATTAGGTTCAATTTTGATTCTAAATTTTTACTTTATCTTAAATTTGTCCCATCAATTGTACTTGCTAGCTTTTTTTTTTATGAAAAATGTGTGTCTGAACAGCATATGTAATATTTTAAGAGTAAATTATGATTTGATCAATTCTGTCAGCTAACCTTATTAACCAAGTTAGTAGTTATTTTTTGTCAAAAATTTTGACAGCATTATCAATTAAATTAAATTGACACAAAATTTAAAACTTAGAATCAAAATGAATCAATTAAAAATATAGTTAATAAAATAACACAAACCACAAAATATAAAGATGGTATTCAGCTGGCGAAAACAATACACCAGCACGACGGTAAGTTGTTTAGACGTAAGTTACTCTTTTTTCTTTTTCTTTTTCATTTTTAATTTGTATAGAAGACTCATCTTAGGCTTGGTTTGATTTTTTGAAATTAATTTTTGAATATTTATTGAATAAATAAAAATTAATTTGATAAAAATAAATATTTTTTTTCCTGATTTTTGGTGTTTCTGTAATGCTCTTCTCTATATATATTGTCTTTCTTCTGCTAGCAAACATTCAAATTTAATTAAAGGAATTTTTATATATCACTTTATTTTTTCGTCGTTTTATATTACCGGATACATGGAGTGGTCCTACCTTTCTACGTCAAATTAAATCTTGATAATCATAATTAATATTACTTAAAAAATTAGATACATTTTAAATGTAAGTCAATAAGTAAAAAATTTTAAGTCATATGAAACTTACTTAATTTTGACTAAATTTATAAATATTAAATATAAGTGTCAATCTACAATATTATAAACTCACTACTATCACCGCCGCAGCCATGATCACCATCACCACCATCATGCCACCGCCACCACTACTATCACCATCACTTTCATCATCATTGTTATTGTTGTCGTAAGTACCACCATCATAAATAAAATATAACTATTAAAATTATAAAAATATATACTTTTATTATCATTTTATTTTTAATTCATGATTTAAAATCATATTATAGATATCAGAATTTTTTTTCTTTTTTCGTTTTTGGTAGAAAGTCATTGTATTAATTTGTAATAAAGTCACCATAATAAATAGTATATATCTCTAAAAGTGTGGTGCCTAGCTTGGTGGTTTGGCCTACAAATCACACATAATTTGAGTTTTTCAATAAACACTGGTTCTAGGGTGAATTGTGAAGCAAGTATTTTACTGGAAAAAAATTTAAATCTAAATTTGTGTGCGCGTGTGTGTGTGTTTTGAAGTTTTGAACTATTACATAAATCTTAAGATATATAATCAATTATATCACAGTTTTAAGCTATTTTGTTGGTTGATATAATCTAATAAAAAATATATATATACTATCATTTGATTTTTGAAATTTTCAACAAAAAAAAAAACGAAAGAAAGAAGAAGAAATGCCTCTTGTATTTGTGGGGACATATTTTTTGAATGACGACACGTGGCCGAGGTGTCACCGGAGTGCTAGCTGAGGTGCCACGTGTCCTAGTCATGATGCCGAGATGATCTCGGCTAGGCCGAGGTTATCTGCGAAGATGTCGGAATTCGAGATAAACGGATGAGGGACAAGAGTCTCAGAATGAGAGAAGACTTCAGTTTGTATTAAAATAAGACTCTTAGAGAGTTTATCCTAATCTTACTGGGAGTCCAAGATTTGCAGTAATCCTGAGTCCGTAGAAGTTAGGCTTCTGTCGGAACTAGGTTTATGTTGGCTATAAAAGAGAGGCACCCCCATGGGTCTAAAGTATACTTTTGATACTCAAGCTTGTGAGTTTAGCACTTGATTTATCTTTGAGAGACATACTGACTTGATCGTCGGAGTGCTCCCGGGTGGACGAACCACTGTCGGAATCTTCTCTTTCTGTTGCAGGTCAGCCAAGTGCCATTTATTCTGCCGGTGCTCTCCAGCTGATTACTAAGCGGACAGTGTGGTCAGAAAATCACTCACATAATTTGGCGCCATCTATGGGAAAGAAAGGAGAATAGATGGCCATCACTGTACAAGATCAACGTATCGGAAACGACGAGTTTAGCAAAGATGGAGAATGTGTCGACATAAACGAAGTGAAGACCCTTCCAGAAGGGACGCAAAGACAGGGGCATGAGTGCTCCCAAGGAGATGACATTCAAGTATAGAAGAGCTCAGCCCAAGTGAGCAGATCTCGGATTCCAGATCCTGGATCCCGGATCCCAGAAGACAAGATCTCGGCCTAAATAAGTAGGTCCGAGAAGATAAGAGCTCAGCCTAAGTGAGCAGATCCCGGATCCCAGAAGGCATGATCTCGGCCTAGATAAGTAGATCCGAGAAGACAAGAGCTCCGCCTAAGTGAGCAGATCCCGGATTCCAGATCTTGGATCCCGAATCCCAGAAGGCATGATCTCGGCCTAAATGAGTAGGTCCGAGAAGAGAAGAGCTCAACCTGAGAGAGCAGATCCAAGATTCCAGCAGACAAGACCTCGACACTTAAGCCCGAGAAGAGAAGAGCTCAGTGAGCAGATCTCAGATCCTATAAGATAAAAAAGAAACACACAATTTGGCGCCGTCTATGGGAAAGAAAGAAGAATAGATGGCTAATGAAAGAAAGAAGAATAGAAGGCCAATGACGGACAGAATGATCAAATTGGAGACAATGCTCCTGCTGGGGGTGGGAGACCTATCAACCTCGACATTGAAGGGGACGATTGCAACACAGAAACTCGTGACTAGAGTGACAGAGTGAAAAACGCCGGCCAGAAAGGTGACGCACCAAAGACAACAGATCGAAGCGGATACTACAAACGAAGATGACCTCCTGGTATGGAAGGATAGATACCTGCGGAGGAACGAAGACCCTTCCAGAAGGGATGCAAAGACAGGGGGCATGAGCGCTTCCAAGGAGATAACATTCGAGTATAGAAGAACTCATCCTAAGTGAGCAAATCCCGGATTCCAGATCCTGGATCCCGGATCCTAGAAGACATGATTTCGGCCTAGATGAGTAGGTCCGAGAGGAGAAGAGCTCAATCTGAGTGAGCAGATCCAAGATTCTAGCAGACAAGATCTCGGCATGCAAGTCCGAGAAGAGAAGAGCTCAGTGAGCAGATCTCAAATCCCATAAAAAAAAAAAACACACACACACACACACAAGGTTGGACTGCAGTTAGCCATGTTGAAGACCTTTTATAAGGTTCGCAAAGGAGTATATGGAAGAAATAAGAAAAGCTAGAGAGAAGAAGAATATGTTCACTTGTTGAAATTTGCAGCAATTTACAAGTTGGTTAAACCGATATGATGTTTACCACTTGTTGAAATTTGTAGCAATTTATAAGTTGGTTAAACCGATATGATGTTTACCACTTGTTGAAATTTGTAGCAATTTACAAGTTGGTTAAACCGAGATGATGTTTAACACTTGTTGAAATTTATGGACAATTTACAAGTTGAAGTTAAACCGAAAGCATTGTTTAACACTTGTTGAAATTTGTGGACAATTTACAAGTTGAAGTTAAACCGAGATCATTGTTTAACACTTGTTGAAATTTGTGGACAATTTACAAGTTGAAGTTAAACCGAAATCATTGCTTAACACTTGTTGAAATTTGTGGACAATTTGTTTAACACTTGTTGAAATTTGTGGACAATTTACAAATTAAGTTAAACCAAAATCATTGTTTAACACTTGTTAAAATTTGTGGACAATTTACAAGTTAAAGTTAAGCCGAAATCATTGTTTAACACTTGTTGAAATTTGTGGACAATTTACAAGTTGAGTTAAACCAGTATGATGTACAACACTTGTTAAAAGTTTACAAGTTAAGATTAAAACCAAGAAGTTCGTCTACCCGAGGTGTGTCACCCCGAGAAGATTACACAAAAAAGGAAGAGTATGTGAAAGACATGCTGAATATTCTAAGTATAGAATCACGCCGCAACAGTCAAGAAAAGACAAAAGTACAAGCAATCAGTAAAGGAAAGTTGTATTAGCATTCAACAAAAAGGAAGCACATCGGCCATATGGAGGGCTTACATTGTTTCAAAAAAACAAAGAAAAACAAAATACAAAAGAAAAGACATGAAAACTAAGGCTCCTCAGCGTCGACAGTGAGCTGGGTTGGGACCTCGGACGATTGTTGAGAAGCAACCTTGGCCTCCTTCTCCGCCATCAGCTCAGCATCAATTTCTTGCAAAGTTTCTTCAATACTCTTGTCGGCTAAGGGGACATTGGCTGATAACTTCTCATGAGCAGCATCTTTGGGAACCTCATCACCTTCCTCATCTTGAGTCAAGTCTAGGACTTGCTCCTTCTGAAGAGGGGATTTGGCCCCATCAGCATCCTTAGATTTCCTCACCAAGGCCTCATCCTCATCCTCATCCTCATCCTCATCCTCATCACCATCCTCAGACTCAGATTCGTCAACGTCTTGACTTGGAGGTGGAGGTGGAGGGAATGGAAGAGGAATGAGGTCGGCATTTTTGAAAGGCGAGTCCTCGGGGACATTGAGCTTCTTTAGAAGAGACATCCAACCAAGGGTGAAACCCTTGTTACATGCCTGCTTCACTTGAAGTTCATAAGCCTCCGTGACATCAGCCATGCCTTGAGCGTATGCCTTTTCGTCAGCATCCTTAATTTCAGCCTCTTCGGTGGCCAAGGCTTTTTGAAGCTCTTTTTCTGCTTGGGCCATCTTCTCCTCAGCCTCTTTTCTTTGGGCCTCAGAGACCTTCCTGATGGCCTCGGCAGATTCAGCCTTTTCTTCGGCATCACTTTGAGCTTTAATGGCGGCCTCAGCTTGGTCTTCCAGCTTCTTCATTTTTTACTGTAAGCCTTTGTTGGTTTTTTGAAGAGAAGAGAACTCCTTCTTCATATCGACCAGCTTCTGCCGATTTTCGAAAAACTGAACAGAAAAAGAGTGGGCATGCTGGATGGCCTGAAGAAAACACAAGGTAAAAGTTATTGCAAAAATTTCTAAGTATAAAAAGGAAAAGAAAAAAGTGCCAGATGAAAGACACTTACTTGAACAGAGCGTTGAAGCATCAACGCATAGTTTTCGTATTTGCTCAACTCGGCGTTTCGCTCCAGATCACTTGGTAGCAGCAGAGCAGTACTGAGCGCAACGTCGACATTAATATCCTCGGTACTATCATTTGCTATGACTAGCTTATCCTCCAGAGTAATTTCGGGGGCCCAAGGGGCAGCAGGCTTCTTAGACCCCGAGGTCGTTGTAGAAGATAACCTCGGCCTTTTGGATTTTGGGGATTCTGATGGTTGGGCTTCAGAGCGCTTCTTCCCAGCAGAGGGTTGAGGTTTGTCACTCTCAGCCAACTTTGAGATAGACAAGGTATCTTCAGACTCAACCTGAGTTACCTTAGCCTTGGGTTAAGCCTTCTTTATTCTTTTCGGCTTCGGTGGAGGAAGGGTTTGAGTTGGTTGTGCATCAACATCAGAAGGGATGCTGGCTAAGAGATCTTTTGCAATAGGCTTAGGGCGACCCATCTCGGCAGTAGAAACTAATCGGCGTCGACGGCGGCGTTGGGATATTGGAACCAAGTATGGAGCTGAAGTTGACGGTTGCTCGGCTGGATTAGAGGTTGACCCCTGGTCTGTCCGAGATGTGGATGCGGTCTGTGGCGTTGTGGCAGATGGTGGAGAAAGGCTTTTCTTCTTCCTCCTAGGGACGTTGGGCAAAGCAGACCTGTATGTTGGAATAAAGTTGAGAAGCAGAGGCGCCTTTCGTTTGTGAATTGGTAAGTTCAGAAATTTTTTCAAATCCTTGCTGGGATAGAAGGATTGGCAAAAATTCTTTGGAGGCTGAGGAAAAACTACAAAGATAAAAATAGCACAGACATTAGAACAAGAACATTAAAAACTTTATGTAAGAAGATAAAAAAAAAAACTTATGAAGGGTGGCCCTTACCAGCTCCTTCCCCCAAAACAGTTCGGCTTAAGGAATAAAGATGGAGGTCGTCATTTGGTTGAAACTCCCAATTGCCCGAGACAATAAAGTAATCGTCTCCAGCTCCCTTGCTGGATTCTGGGAGGTCGGCTACGATTTTATATTCGGTGGATCTCAGCTTAAGGTAATAGACATAGTCCGTTTCTTTTCTAAGACGACACATGGTATAACAGTACTGGAAATCGGCAAGCGTAATCCTGGCATTCTCTTATTTGACTAAGGCTATGGTACCAGTAATAACTCGGTAAAAATTAATGGCGAGTTACATTGGATTCAACTTATAGAAGTGAAGGATTTGACGAAAAAATAGGTCAAGTAGGAACCGAAGTCCACACTCAATAAAGGCAACTACAGGAAATGGCATAGAGTGATCAGTAGGCATGATGGAGTCATCATCCCCAGCCAACCTCAGATTGACATCGGATGGGATTTCAAACTCTTGCCTAAAAAAGTCTAGCTTAGAAGGGGTGTCTACCCGATGTTTCCACATACCCATGATATCGGGATAACTAAAGGTATTGGATTTCAGAAAGAAGATGTATCAAAAAAAGGTTATTGGGACCTCGGCAAAAACTTAGGTTTGAGCTGGTACAGAAATTTGTAAGGGATGTTTCAGTTTTGCCCTAAATTATGGGTTCTACAGAGAAATCCCAAACCTAAAACTATGGAGATGAAGATCAAAGGCACAGATCTGAAAAAAGACACAGAAAACAGAAACAAGAATATAATTCGTAATCAAGAATGGTGATGAAGCTATCAGGAAATCAAGACAAAAAGATTGCACAGGTGTGTCAAGCCAAGAACAGTGGCAGAAATCAACAGATGTGTGAACACTGTGTATTCAAGAAGATGATTTGGAAACAACGGGTAAAACGGCAATGGTGATTAACAATGAAGCAGAGCTTCTTGGAAAGCAGCAAGAAATAAAATCAGGAGGAATAGTGGCTTACCAGAAAAAGGAAAAACCGGAATGGGAATTGCCGAAGTCTGATGACGGATGCGAAAATGACAGAATGACGTAAGCTTCACCAGAGGAGAGGAACAAAAACAGTTGCAGAACTTGAAAGCTTGGAATAATGACGGATTTAAGCAAAGGAACTAGAAAGAGAAAAAGCCAGAGGATTGAATGAAAAAAGAGAAAAATCAGAATCAAGAAGACGACAAAGTTCAAGAATAAAACCAAGTGCACAGGCACTAAGTAAGTATGTGAAGAACAAGAAAGTAATGACCCAGACACGATGCTAGCAACAGAAAGCAGATATGGCAGGAACAGTGCCAGGCGTTCAAACAATTCAAAACTTGAGAACAAACGAAAATAGAAGACAACAGAGGGCAAGTAAACGGATTCAGAAGAGTTATGAAAGATTGAGCTTAATAAAAAAGTAAGAGTTTATGAACCTACAGAGAAATGAACGCCGATATGAAGATCGTCGGAGTCAAATAGATGACTGGAAGTCGGGAACCCACCGAAGAATGTGAGTGGAGCAGTTGCAAAGCTCTTGGAGTTTACGAATTAATGGAACAAGAACCTCGGCTAGGAGGTGTGATCTCGAAGCAGCTTGGAAAGCATGAAGCTTGATACTTGACAGAAGTGGACAGTAAAGTCCAGGGAACTTTGAGGTCGGCGAGTTTGATCTCGGACAGAGGGGCACAGATGAACGAACAGTGTAAGTTCCATCACCTCAGAATGTCGAGGTAATAGAACCTAGGGGGCAGTTGTGGGGACATATTTTTTGAATGACGACACGTGGCCGAGGTGTCACCGGAGTGCTAGCCGAGGTGCCACGTGTCCTGGTCATGATGCCGAGATGATCTCGGCTAGGCCGAGGTTATCTGCGAAGATGTCGGAATCCGAGATAAACGGATGAGGGACAAGAGTCTCAGAATGAGAGAAGACTTCAGTTTGTATTAAGATAAGACTCTTAGAGAGTTTATCCTAATCTTACTGGGAATCCAAAATTAGTAGTAATCCTGAGTCCATAGAAGTTAGGCTTCTGTTGGAACTAGGTTCATGTTGGCTATAAAAGAGAGGCACCCCCATGGGTCTAAGGTATGCTTTTGATACTCAAGCTTGTGAGTTTAGCACTTGATTTATCTTTGAGAGACATACTGACTTGATCGTCGGAGTGCCCCCGGGTGAACGAACCACCGCCGAAATCTTCTCTTTCTGTTGCAGGTCAGCCAGGTGCCATCTATTCTGCCGGTGCTCTCCAGCTGATAACTAAGCGGGCAGTGTGGTCAGAAAATCACTCACACAGTATTAACAAAATTAACTTGATAAAATTGATATTATTACTGAAAAAACATTAGTGAAACATTCCTCTCAAACTTTTGGTAGTAGGAGAAATTCAATATATTTTTTCTTATTAGTTAAAATCTCTCAATAATATTATTAAAAAAATTTCAGTTTGTCACAGAGAAATTTTTATGTGAACACAAATTTTTCTGTGCTGAAATTTCTACGTGAAAATATTGAGATACCCCAACTATTATGAAAATGTTACATATTTTTCATCTTATAAAATTTTAATATTAAGGACCTTAAACTAAACCCTCCTATTATTAACTTGTATTAACTTGTAAAGTAATTGGTTATCATCTGATTATATGTCGTGAAATACTAATGAAATAGAGTTAGTAAAATAATTTTTATAAGATTTGTAAGTCATCTAATTCTGCATTTTACAAATACTCATAAAATATAAAGTAATAATAAACTTGCAAAAATCTGACCAATAATAAACTTGCAAAAATCAAAAAGTTTATAAGATAATTTGTAACGTTTCATTAAATTTTTCATTAAATTTGAATAAAAATTTGATAAAAAATTTAATTTGATATGAGGCATTTTAATGATTTCATTAAATTTGGATGGTCGTTTAGTCGGTCATTTAGTTTATAGTAAATTTTCGTCAAATCCATTCCAAAATTGGTTGTTTGGGGAGACGTACGGCCTAATGGTCCCCTGCAAATTTGATGCAATGATAAAACTCCCTTTATTTGATTAAAAAAAAAAAGTATCTGTTTCTCTATTTAATATCAATTTAATGAAAGAGTTGGAGTTCACATCTTAGGTATTTTTCATCAAATTTGAACTAGCATGTCACCCATGCCATGCACGAGATAAAATAATATATTATTTTTTAAAAATTCAATAATTATATTTAATTTTTTGTATTTTGTCTCTCATAAATAAAATTGTATATATAAGTTTAAGAGTTTTGTTTCAAATGTTCCTTACTATAATATATAGTATAGATAGATTAAAATTGTTGTATTGACAATTAACAATTAAAATTATGCTTTGTTATAAAAAAAAATGACATAGTTATGATATTTCACTATTTTAGAATAAAAATATATGAATTTTAAAAATTGTTATATTGGTTTTTGAAAGGAAAATAATTAAAAAAAATTAAAAACTTAATGAGTAAAAAAGAATTATCGTAACATATAATTTAAAATATCAAAAAAAATTTAAAAAAATCAATAAAGATTTTAAAAAGATGTAATTACAATTAAAACTAATGCCATATTTATTAATAAGTGTAATTTTATTTGGATAGAGAGAGAATCTAGATATAATGTTTAATTTTTATTTTTTGTTAAGTTTAATTTTAAGTTTATATAGATCAAACCAGTTGTAAAAAAATATTAATAATATACATTTTATGGGAGGTGAGATAATTTCATTTTCATTAAATTTATTTTAGAAGAGATAAGATTGTAAGAGATTTAATGAGGGGGGGTGGTTAAGAACTGTGTGCTTTTTTCTTTCTTTTTACTAGCAATATATTTGCATTAATTAATTTTGAAAGTTAATATTTATATCCTTGGTATAGCTAATAGATGTTTTA